GGCCATTTCGCGTTTTTGCGTTTTCTCCTTTCACTTTGCAAACGCAAAATCGAGAAATCGGGAAATCAGAAAATCGAGAGGCGAAATCGAGAAATCGGGAAATCGAGAAATTGGGAAATCGAGAAAGCGAAATCGAGAAATAGGGAAAACGAGAAATCTGGAAATCTGGAAATCGAGAAATCGAGAAAGCGAAAACGCGAAATCGAGAAATCTATTCCCCGTTTTCGCCTTCGTGATTTCTCGTTTTCGCTTTCTTAATTTTCGATTTTTTGATTTCCCGATTTCCCGATTTCCCGATTTCTCGATTTCTGGATTTCCCGATTTCCCGATTTTTCTATTTCCTCGATTTCTCGATTTCTCGATTTCTTGATTTCTCGATTTCTCGAAGAAAGTGAAAGGAGAAAACGCAAAAAGGCGAAATGGCCGCATCCGGCCACCATAGAATTCCAAAGAAAATTCTAAACGGAAAGTGCTTTATAAAATGGCAAAATCAAAAGCTCAAACATCAAAAGCTCAGTTATCAAATGAATGGAAAGCAACCTCCTTCTGTACCAAGTAATACGTACTCATCCCGACATGTACAAACTTCTTGACATTTTAATGTTAGTGAGAATACTTATAAAAAAGCATATCACATGATGACATGCTTCTGAGTGGATATATATATATTTTAAGATTTATCTATCAAGTGAAATCAAAATGGAAAATTACGGTGAGATAATTTGTAAATTTGGGTGTTAAATTTTAAAGGTTAGTATGCTTCATTACATCAGTAAATATAAGTGACAAAAATTGGATATAATATAAGCACGTTCATTAGGCGATTGGACATATATTTATAAGTAGATTACATAAATCAAACAGGTAAATGAACATATTGATAGATAGAAAATACCCAAGAAAAACAAAGCAAAGAACAAAAGACATTCGTGCATGAATACAAAACCAAAAAAAAGATTACTCGTAGGTATGATTAACTTTATTTTGTTACAATAGCCCGGATGTTGGTTAAGTCACAACTCATGTGTTTACTGTATCTTAATATCTGTTGGTTGAATGTTTACCGTCACAAACACAGTCAGCTGTCTAAGTTTGTCGTAACCTATGAAATTTCCATATCATATTTAACTGAACGGATAATGTAGCATTTTATAGTAATGAAAACAATTCAAATTGACCTTCACAATTTTTAGTCATCATCATTTCTTGTTTCATTTCAATTTATCCTAACTGTTTTTGTGTATATGTAACAATACCTTCAAAACATTTAATTTTCTATAGCTAACATGATGACATATTATTTTTCTTTCTGGGTATTCATGACAGCATTCTGTATTTATTATCAATTTAATTTTTTTTAAATTAACATCTCAAGTTGGTGTTTAAAAAAAATAACAAAAGAAAAAAAAAAAACAATACATTTCATTCTTTACCAATGCGTATATGGATACATATTATGAAAAATACGGACTGTAAAATAGTATAACACGTAAAATGCATTCATTACACTGTCTTGGTGTTATTTAAACCCACTTTAAAGTGTTTTTTGAATCTTCAGCAATTCAAAAATGCTGTTATCGCACAGTAACTTTCATTTTTGAAAAATACCGCGAATGCAAAACACATATAACTGTGTAGTACTACCTAAAGATAACCGGGTAACGGATACCGGATAAATATTTATCACCCGGTAACGGATAACATTCATATATACTATATAAATAGAGTGCCATTATAAGTTTCGCAATCTGTTTCTGATGACAATTCATGAAGGATCGAAACCGATTAGGCTATGAATCATCATAAGGCACTGTCAATAATGTGTTTTAGCGTTAATTACTATTTATAAGAACTTTGGGATACTTGCAATGACATTTTGTCCTATTATAAATGCCAAGGGTTTCATCCGAGCTCCATTTTTTAATTCCAAAATCGTTGTCTGTTTCAATTAAAACCTCGCTTACGCAGATAACTGTGTAGTGTTCATAAATGTAGTGCAAAACAATAAACACCAAATACTATGAATCGCTTAAATGAAATAGCACTTTATAAATTGTGGACATCCGAAGCGCTTCACTGTAAAAACCAATGATTTTTAAAAGTTTGTTTCATAATTCGCTATTTAGCATAATATTAAACACTTATTCATTGTTATTGTTCGCGTTAGATTGAAAATATATTTGAATAGGTATTAAATTTAATCGCTATAAATGTTGTTTTGTTATACATCTTTGGCATTAGAATATATTATTTGGAGCTTTCCTGATTAATTTCAACACAAAAAGGCGAAAAGTACGCACGAAATATATAAACTGTAATTTTGTAGCGAAAGCGGTTAAATACACTAGATATGCTAGATTTAAAAACAGAAAACAATTATCAATTCATTCCGCTCATTTGTCCAAGACAGGCAACACAAAAAATAACTGCGACAAGGGCCTTTTGACAAGTACAATCCATTATTGCAAGTTGAAAACCAAACGTATGATAAAGTTACACAACACTTTTGTTTTATAAAGGCAACATTAGTATGCCGCTTTCAAAAGTCATAAATTGATTGAGAGAAAACAAACCCGGGTTACAAACTAAAACCGAGGGAAACACATCAATTATAAGAGGAAAACAACGGAACACAAGAAACACTAAAGTGCAAAAAAAAAAAAAAAAACAACGACTAAATACATAGAAACATACTATTTATTTATAATTGTTTTATAACATCACGAATTGGTTAATCCATACGATGTGTCTTTGTCCAAACTAACTAAGGACATTTTTACCTCGTCTTAGATTGTGGTTTGCCATTACGTCGTCTGATCTTTTAAGTACCGAACGTGACCTATTCCCGATTGTGACTGTTTTGCTGAGTGTGAATTTGCATTGCTACAAGACGTGTCACTGTATTTTGCTATCCAAAATTCTTGTATTTAGTTTTGTTGTTATATGTGTAATGGTCAAATGTCTTATCATTTGTAGTTGTAATTCTTACTTTTTTATGTTCTATTCGTGTGTGAGTGTAAAGATAATTTATCACCCAGTTCATTTATAAGATTTTAGTTTGGGTCAACTAAACTTACACTATGTATATGGTTTTCAGTTTGATTTAGAAGAAATACCGACATAGCTAGATAATACAATTAATTATCTAAATACTAACACAATTTTAAATTAATAAGTATTGTAATTTTCATTGTTATTAAATACATGTAATATCAATATTACAAACCCAATCTTGAACTCTATCCTATTTCTCGGAATTTTTTGAAATATACCTGTGACGTCACTTTTGTGTGACGATCTATTCGGCTGACATACAATGCGTTGTTCGGCTGTGCTGTTTTTATGTGCTGATCTAGGTTGTTTTACGTATTCGTTTTTATTCTGTAGTTAGTCACCACTTCGGTGTTAACATGTATATCAATTATATGGTCATTTTTATATTTTATAAATTTACTGTTTGCAAAAAAATGTATTATTATAAATACTAAATATTTTCGTATCCCTGGCAGATAACCTAGCCGTATTTGGCACAACGTTTTGGAATTTTGGGTCATCAATGCTCTTCATCTTTAGGCCTGGCACCTTTGATAACTATTAGCTTGTCGTAATCTTCTATTGTATTGTTTATTTGTGTGTTTCTCTGTCCTGTATGTTCTTCAATTTATTTGTATTGTAGTCCTGTCATGTAATGTTGTCATTTTAGTGTTATATTTAACATTGCCATTAAATCGGGAGGTTTGGCTAGCCACAAGATCAAGTTTAACCCACCATTTGTTCTTAAAATTTCCTGTACCAAGTCAGGAAAATGGCTATTGTTATCTTATAGTTCGTTTCTGTGTGTGTTGCATTTTAGTGTTTCTGTTGTGTCTTTGTTCTCCTCTTATATTTGATGTGTTTCCCTCAGTTTTAGTTTGTAACCCGGATTTGGTTTTTCTTAATCGATTTATGAATTTCGAACAGGGTATACTACTGTTGCCTGTATTTATAATAGTGCAAATGGAGTACATTTTTATATACTTTGACTAAATCAACTGGATTTTCAGTAAACTTCAGCTTAAGAAACACATGGCAAAGGTTTTGTCTAGCTATTTTATTTGTTAAACCTAATAAACTATCACACAATCGTTTGCTATACACATTTCATCTTAAAAAAACATTAAAATATTACCTGTATTTATTGAAATCTGTGAAAATGTGTGCCAACGTGATAACAAAAAAAAACGAAATAGGCATTTTTCGATAAATTCATCATTTTAACAATGATCTAATGCGATCATTGCTGTTTAATACTAATATTACATTTCTTCTATATAGAAATAGGTACTAAATTGGAGCAATTTACATTCGGGTTATCGGAAAATATCGTCGTAAAAAAAGTCACAGTAATGCTAGGTCATCGATTTAATGATCGTCTTGTATATTTTTTGTAACTGACGTAAGACAACCTCTATTAATCAATGTAATAAGCACTATCCTATGATCAACTATGTGCAAAATATACTAGTTTATACTGCATGGTACATTTTAAATAAACAAATACAAAATGCGAACAAAAATATAATATACCAAAGTTAAGTTTGAAAGGGGTTTGCTGTTGAAATTAACAATAACATGATTTGGTGTTTGACGTTTTTCAAATGAAAATATATAAGGCATTCATTAATTCTAAATATCCACGAACTTGTTAGTAAGGTACACACATGTAAATTATAACTTTTTTTTTCGTTTGAAATGCATGAGAAAAAATAAATGTCAAACTATATAAAAAATTACCAAGCAGCAAACAAAATTGTGAATTTGTAAGAGCATTTTAAACATAACATTACATAACAAAATAATTGCAATCAATAAGTGATTGAAGCACAATATCGAGGTTAACATATGTATTCTATAATTTTAGATCAAAGCATATGGGAATGATGTTTTATTCAAACGAAAGCCACAGTACAATATATTTTGAAAAACTTAACAATGCCATGGTTCAGTTATTAATACCAAATACTGTATTTCTATTTGTGATCGATAAATTATTTGCCGAGTGCTTTTACTCGCCAGTCTAATTGGTAATGGGTTAGTTGTGTACGTTTATACTTTCAAGATGAAATCAAAAACAGATGACAGATATATTATTCCATGCCTAGCAGTTGTTGATATGTTCGCATGTGGCCTTGGTGTATCATTTGGGACAATGATGAACTTTAATCCGTTGAACTTTCGAAAAGGCGTCATATGCAAATTGATCTGGAGTGCAAATAAATTTACTGCAACAAGTTCGGGTCTGATGCTTTTAGCAATTGCTGTGCAACGGTATATTAAGATCAGTCGACTATCGAACTCGTCCATGAGCTTGCGAAGGAAACGATTGACAATTACAGCAATCATAATCGTATCAATTGTTATATCACTTCCGTGTTTTGTCTTGTATGGCGAGGCAAAGGTTCCATTGAAAAGTGAAAACAGAACAATTACGGGATACAATTGTGGCGCTTTGCCTAATGTGAATCGAGATTTTCTATTTGGTTATTCAGTTATACTGTTACTATTATGTTTGGCTGGAATTTTTGCACTCATCGCAATATATTGCGTATTACTTCGTATCATATATAAACAAGAATCTTTCTTAAAGAGAAATTGGTCAGCCCTACGTTCTGTAGGCGTCAATGTACATCATAGTATCGCAAATCAGATTATGAAAGATTCTGATTCAACTAATTGTGGAGATGCTAAATCTTCTGTTGACAAATCTGAATCCCACAACACGGACAATCAATCAACGTCGACAAGCTACCAAAAGGACGACACAAATGGAGGATTCGACATTAAGGGACATAGGTCTACTGTTCCTTCTGGAATCCAACCAAGACGGACATCAAAATTAACCAAAATTCTTTGTCGAATCAAGCGTAAACATCGATTCTCTATAATGTTCTTCCTTATCACATTATTATTTAGTATCTCCTATTTTCCTAGAACTGCGTTGATGATTGTAGAATCTGTGATAAGTAATTTCTGGGATAAGTTAGCAGATGCAGAATACGTCATAGTTTTATGTTTTTACAGAGGATATCTAACAAATAATGTTGTTAATCCTGTTATATATTTGATTTTTGATACAGTATTTAGAACATCTTGCAAGCAACTGTGTTGCAGACATCGATAAGACCACATAATGGTCAAATGTATAAACACGTATATATTTTTCTAATTGTAATATTGATCTAATTACAAAACTTCATAATTTATTTTCTTCATTTCTTCAATAGCATTCTGAAATCCAGAATATTTGCGACATACTTTGAATAAAATATGTTGCAAAAGATGGCATAAAATCGGAGGTATCAGCATTCCCTGTTCACCTTCATTTTAAATACAAAGATCCAGTAAACCACGATTCTTTCAATAATACAGACAATCTGATATATTTAGCTGGTTATTCAGATCTTATTTTCCTTTCATATGTTTGCTTATTTGTCAAAAGAAACTTTCAGAAATTGTTCATTAATTTCAAATTCCCAAGCTTTCATTTGGTACAAATTAACCCAGACAGTGTACTTATTTGCAAAGATACAGGTATGCGTAGAATCAATTCAATACAAACAAATGCATGCTTTTATCTAAAGTCCTCAGTTCAACCTAACGAAATCAACGCAAAAGCATACATACACTATTTTAAACAAGAATGCCGATTACAAAAAGCATGAACTAAATATGTATGTGCAGATAAGCAACCAATCCAGTATCCCCCTTATGTTCATAAGGAAGAAGCTGTAAATTTGATGTTTGGAAAGGAGCGACTAGGTTGGAGATAAAGTAGAAGCTTTTTCACTTGTTTGCTGAAAAGCTTGGCACGGAGGATAAAACAGAAATTTTAAAACAAATGTTTCTTTTGTTATTATAAAACGTTCTATTGCATAGCGTAAAATGTGCTTTCACTAATCAAAATTTATTTGTCACATAATGCCGTAAATAATGCAAATATACTCTCAGACCGTTAGTTTTGTGTCTTTCAGTTTCATGTAAGCTATGTTTGTTGTGTGCTTTGAACCGATATGATGAGTAAAACAGTTTTAAACTGATTAGGACAGTGTATTATTTAGTTTACATAATACTGTCCCATGTTAGAGATGGATTAAACGCTCAATAATATATATTTAGCCTCTTCAATATTTTGTATATGTATCACCTAAACCAAGAGCATGTATTTAAGAGATTGTTGCTGATTTTATAATGAATGCTAGTGAATTTGAAACCAGTGTAACCGGAATATATATTTGGGAGGACACTAATGATTTTCTTGTATATATTACTTCTGTCACTGACAGTTTTTTGCGCTGTAAGCAACAGTATATGTACAATAACCTTGATTTGCTTTTCAGTGATAATGTTTCTATAAATTGTAACGCCCACCTTAACCTTGTGCTATTTATAGCAGGATAACCTATATATGAAGTAATGAAATTACAATGTATACAATTCTCAGTTGTTATTAAAACAAAGTTGCCTTAATCTGACTAAATGTGAACCAGATCATAAAGACATACTTGTATTTTCTGCAGCTTGTACCCAGTTAGGTCTTCGCATTTTTGCCCGCTGTGACATGTATTAATCCTTGTTATAATTATTTGAATTGTTTCACCGACTCTTTGTTCATTTAAAAAAAAAAACAACGTCATTTGTCTTTTCTCATGTTAGATGTTTTCTTAATAATTCTTAACTGGAAAATTTAAGAAAGGTTTGTTATAAACCATATCAATACCGAAGTACTGACTGCTGAGCTGATAATGTCTTTCGGTACCGTACGTATACATTGAAATAAAACATATTATATACATGTAGCACTATAACCTCTGTTCACAATAATTGGCGAAGCCTAATAAAGATATCTTTTGTTTTTATGTCAAGGATATACATAAGACATGTTAAAACATCATGGTCATATCTTGTTAACTTGCTAAAAATAAAAAAAAGGTGATAGGGTATGATTGCAAATGAGACAACTATCCACTAAAGTTCAAATGTAGTGGATGTAAGCAATTAGATGCAATCGTACGGCCTTCAATAATGCTAAAATCCAATTCCGTATAATCTGCTAAAAAAGGCCCTGACATGAAAAATATAAAACAATTCAATTGTAAACACTAATGACCTAATTTATAACAAAACATTTACTAGTAACGAAAAACAAATATGACAGACATGAACCAACGCCAAACCCTAAACTACAGGCTCCTGATTTTGGGCAGGCACATGCAGAATGTTAACATATTTTTGAGCGCTTAAACTCTCCCCTACCCTTAAAAAGTGGTGTAACAGCACAATATAAGAACAAACTACAATGTATCAGTTGGAAAAAGCTTGAATCATCAAATCGATACCAAGAAAAACATTAAACAAAAAGAGTGACTGGACATAGCAGGGCAGGTATATATCAATCCCTCATCCCTTACAAAAAAAAACACTAAGTAAATATTCGAGATTACTCGCAGTTACCGACAGCTAGTTCAAAAGCCAATGACAACTAATAAAACAATCATGTATCTAAGACTAACATATCAATCAGTACACATCCAACATGCAACCGATTTAGTGTTAAGACGTCAGTTAAAAGTCAGAGAAAAATATGACCTTGTTCGATGCAAAAATACACGTATCGACATATTGCAATACCGTGAAAGTACATGTGTGTTATTTTAAGTATGCTTGAATTTGCTGATAACAAAATCATCATTTATACCAATAAAAACAATAAGCATTAAGGTTCGTAAACACACAAAATAAATTTAACAAATGGAGACGAAGGATACCGAAGGGACATTCAAACTCACAAGTCGAAAACAAACTGACAACGGCATAGCAAAAAAAAAAAAAGAAATAAGACTCACAGACAAACAACAGTACAGGAAACACAACCTTGATAAAAAATCATCTGCCCTCCCTTGTGCCCTTATTAGACCTTGCAAATAATCCAAAACAAAACACTCTTTTCCATACGTACTTAGGAATACACATGATATATAAGTGCAATGTTTGTTTCCTCAAACAAAATTTATTTGGTTAAAAAATATATCACATGTTATTTATCTCTGGTATCATACACATTTTTATCCAACCCGGAACTGTCCATTGTATTTTTCTTGTGTTATTTTGATGTATCTCAATTTCTCATTTTATTGACAGTAGTTTTGTTATTAATCTTCTCCTCTTCCCCGTTTGATCCGGTTAGGTCATGAGCCGTTACGCGAGCTAACGAAAGTTTAACGAAGCCATACACTGTCATTTTCATTGTTTGTTTACTTATAAATGTGTCCATTTCCATTCTCAATTTTATCCTTTTAAATAAAAGATTAAAGGTAAATCGCTATTCTCTGATGACAATTGAATATAAAATGTAACTCGTTTTTCGCAGGATGGAACCTCCCTCCCCAATTGAGGGTTGATAGAAAACACATCATATAATTCATGCAAAGATTCAACACATTTCGCTTTGTAATTTTAAAAAAGATCTGAAATTGTTTTACCCATTTTGCTCGTCTTGCAAACACTAAAAAAGTAACATCAAATTCTTTATTACCTTGAACTTTACAGTTCATCTCTTATTATATAATATACATTTTAATGCATGAATGTTCCCCTGTATATTATCTTATAACTGCGTTTTTCATAAAAAAAACCTGTAATTTGCCTTATCAGATTATAAAGGTTCTATGTAAAATGTAACAACTTCCGTTACATATTCCTGCAAAATAGATATATGGATCATCAACATGTTACAATGAAATTGAGAAAATCGCAGTGTTGGGTTTATTTGGAAGGCACTATAAGGCGATTAAAAATATGATCTCATTTCGAGAAATGTAAGCCATTGATATATACGATGTAAGTCCGTACTAAAATGTTGGTGTTTTGCGTGACAGAGCATTACCATCATGACCAATATATCTAAAAGTAAAGAACTATGCAAGGGGTATTTCTTATTGTCGTTGTGAACATTTTGTCGGAATTCTGCTTTATGTGAGTACAATAACATATTAAATATATGTTGTCGATAAAAAAAATGTGTAAGAAATCAACGTCTTTGTAATCGTTTTTCGAATCAGGGCAGCTCTTTTGAAAGTAGGATTATTCATGACCTCAATCACATAATTGATATTTGCTTAAAACACATTCTTATCCGAACCTTGTATATATAACGAAATAAATGTTTTCACTTAAAGCCTCTAGAAACTAACACATCTGCATTGTTTTTTGCAGGTCATGCAGGTATTAGTGAAAATGTCTGTCGTTTTTTGTTTTTTTTGGAACTTTTAAAAGCTTAACTATTTAATTGGCTTGCAGGGCATACATTGAATATCTTTGCAATAAGTGGAGCATAGTTGATCGCTACAGGAAAACGTTATATTGTAAGACCGTTGTATGTATACTATTAAATGATCCTCAAGAATATTTAAATGGATGTCTATGAGAAAACCATGCAAAATAAAAAAAAAATTATGAAAGGGGTGGTTGAGATTTCAGCTGATTTTGGGTTCCTAACAAAGTATTAAGTACATCTAATAGACCCATGGTTCAAAAATGACAATATAGGGCAAATACAGTAAATACGGGGTAATTCTATTTTGGAACCAAATTTGCTTGAAATATTGATGAAAATGGACATTTTTTTATTTTTTTTCTATTTAATTGCTCAAAGTATAACATGTCAAATCTTTTTGTTTTGCCTAAAAATTTAGATTTTGAACTAAAATTAAATGCAAGTTTAATCTTATTTCAACTTTCGTTTTTGTTTATATTTCTATTGAAAAAAGGTGTTTTTCTCAGATTTGAATGTAGCCTGCACTTCATATGTCCATAAATCCTCAAAAATTACTCAATTTGAAACAATATTTTGTCAAATGTTATGGTTCACTATAAACTAAAATTCCTAAACTGGAATTCCGTTGCAAATTAATTTTAGCTTTTTGAAAAAAGATAAAAAAATTGAAAAAAATATACCTGCAATTATCTCCCTTTGTACAATTCTCCAAGTACAAGGTACATTTAATGTTTATAATAGAAGGAGGGAAATGAAAAAATGAGCAGAAGAACATTGAAGGATGGATAATTATAATGGCTGAGAAAGGAGAAAGGTGTATTTTTGAAGGTGACTGTGTATCAGACAACTCAGTTATTTTAAAAGAATGTAAGAAAGAAACCACAAATCATATAAGAGTTTTCAAATATGGCACAGACATTCCTATTCCAG